CTCTAGGTTTTAGTGAATTTATCATATTTGCATATCCCTACGCCATATCTCGAATTAAACTTTGGTTCTAATCTAACCGTGGCTTTTCACTGTCGAAAAAATTGACAAAAAAACAATCATCTAGTTTTTTTTCGGGAAAAATGATATGGTTTTTGTGTTAATGTTTCGTCAGTGGAAATCGACGTTAATATTGACGGTCCATACCTTACCTCTTCGTAGAATCTATTTAGAAACCTTAATAAAATATGAATTACTACGTAGTATATAATTCTATTTAACTTGAAAATAAATTCAAACCAAGGATAATATAAAAGAAATTTTCTAATAAAGTCTCTATTATATTTTTTTAATTGTTAATTTTAGACGAAATTCATTAAAAAAGAACACTAATATAAAATCCTTAAGCAAAGGCAAAACTCTGTTATTTTATTTCGTAACTAGATGGTGTTGTAATTAAATGAAAACAAAATTATTTTTTAATAAATATTCCTATTTTTAATTAACTATGACTAATATTATTATTAGACATGCAATTAAATTTATTCTTTTATTCGAAAGAAATACATAATTTAGTTTTGATAGTGAGTACTTTGTGTAGTTAATATTAGCTAAATAAAGCTAATTTTGGCTAAATGAGTGCTGTAAAAACAGTTTATTATAGAAGACAATTATTTCCTTCATCATCAGCTCACTATACGTCCCTGAGGAGCCTACCTTAAGTTAGTGACTAAATCATAGTCAATGCTGGCCCAGTACGGGTTGTATATTTCCTTGGTTTGACTAAACTAACTCTTCCTAAGACCTACCAGTCACTTGAGCTTTGTAATTTTGTGACAATAATAAACTAAGACAATAAATACTTCTAACTAATAGATTAGTAAAATGATTAATCGTCGGTTTCTAAGATCAAATTCTCTATATAAAACATCATTATTCGGTTTTAAACGGATATTTTGGTCTCATAAACCCACGGTAAGGCTTCGACTGTCGTTATACTTATGTTGATACACATTATTGTCACTATTTTGTTAGAATGAGACGGCTATATGTATTAATAAAAGTGTAACTGTAGTGAAAAACTACTCTTAGACTAATGTATTTAAGTGCCATTCTGCTCACTTTCTTATGAATTAAAAATATACATTAATAAATACTTATAGAATAAAAACTTCTTAAACACGAAGAATAATTATTTCCAAATTTAAAAATAAATTTTGTTGTAAATACTGATCTCTATATAAATGGATAGTTGCTTGCTTCATTTTGAATATGGAACGAAACAAAAGCTTTTATTCCTGGCAATTAATTCTATGTCTACAATTAATTCGTATTCTCAACACCGCTGTCAACCGCAACTATAAGCGCCAAGATGGCGATGATCAAATGAGCACAGGATACCTCGGACTATAGCCTATCTATATATAGAGATCAGTAGTTTTAAATCAGACCGATAAGGATATCTGAACCGATGGGCTTATTATAAACTAAATTATCATAGCTCACTAACGCCCCTATCAACATCAAAAAATGTCGGAAGATTGTTTTTCGTACTTGTAGCTGTCATGTTATGTTTTTTCTTTTATCTCAATTTCTAAAACCATGTAGGTTTTATATATTTTCTGACATAACTTACGCGATGGTAACGCCTCTCTCGGTCCAGATATCCTTTGAACCTTGAAACTCACTTTCATTGTCTATTATTTCAAATCTTTTTTCAGAATTTCATAAAGGTTTTTATCTATAAATATAATCGTATTGTATATTATTAGGGGAACAATTTTTAGTCCCAGAAAACTAAACTTATGACGATGATTGTGTTAGCATTATATTTTGCGATTTATATAGAAATATAGATTTAATTCTTACAACCGCTCAACAAGCTATGGCCACTAGACTACCAAAAAACCATTGAAAAAAATAAAAGATTTAGTGACGTCACAACTCGTATGGCTAATCCTCTAAGGAGGTTCCATGCATTAATCTTTACAAGTGAACTAGCGGACCCGACAGACGTTGTCCTGTCTACACGTCTTTAATTCGAATATTATTTAAAATTTGACACTGCGATGTTAGCGCCATCTGTCGGATCCAATGTAAAACATTCCAAAATCAACAACTACTAATAAATTAAAAATTAATTAAAAAAACATTGTCCAGCGGACAAAATTGTGTATCTAAACCATTCCCAGATCCCCTTGAACACACACAAAAAATTTCATCAAAATCGCTCCAGTCGTTTGAGAGAAGTTCAGTGACATACAGAAGAATTATATATATAATGATAGGCGATTTTAGAACTGTCAGCTTTTGTTTAATTCCGATGTAACTAAGCCTATTGATGTTATTAGTTCAAATCTACACCATCAAACCGCTACCATAAGCCTTAAGATAGGTAAAAAACAAATAAGCATTCCACAGACAGTCCATTTATAGTGGTCAGTGCACGGAAAAACCTCAACATTGTCATCTCCCCCTCTTTATCCTACTATAGGGGGACTTTTCATTAATCATTCATTCATTTTCGTTCTCTTTTTAATCATCACTTAGGGTCCTTCAAGAAGCGAGCTTATCATTATCTCAAAGGCCGTCAATCTACGGTTCCTCTGGTATTGCTGATGTCCATGTCGTTGAACATCTCGGTGTTCCCGCTGCTCGTTTGCCCCCTTCTGTTATAAAAATGTCACTTTTCCTTTAAACATTAAAGCAAATTGAGCGGTTGTAAACATTTGTAAGTAAGATTCGTAGTTGATGTAACACAAATCTTTTAACTTGAGTCTTGAACGAATAAATAATTTCTAACGATAATATTTCAACTAAATTCAAGAAAAAATATTCTTAAATAAAAGGAAACAATGAACTTGATTCAATTGAAACTCAAAACTGCATAACAAAATATAAGCTGACATTACTGGCTTTATGTAAACGCTAACTGGCGCCACTGACTGTACTGGCATTATGTAAACTAGACATTAGGCAAACATTTTTAGACTCAAGTCGCTTTAATTGTACAAAAGTTGCCTTTCCTAGCTAGTGCCTGATATTCAATGCCTGCAAATGTATGTATTGTATGGAATGATCATACATCAAAATTAAACGTCATTCAAACATGTGTGAAAAAGATTTGTCTTGTTAATGAGTAATATAAAAAAATAAGTCAATTTGTAAGGTCTACAAAAAAAATTACTTGTTTTTTTTAATTATTTTAGGAAAATTACTGTAAAATGCAAACGATCAAATAAACTCCACCACAATTGTAAAAAAAATGATTTTAAATCAATGAAAAAAATGTTACTTTTTTGTCGATCGAAAAAAATCTAAAAAAATTTTTCTTTTTCAATAATTTTTTTTAGTACAAAAGTAAATCGAAATCATGCAATAAAAAAAATTATCGCTTAAAATCATTTATGAAAATCAAATAGACAAATAAATAGGTTGTGAAATTTATACATTTTGTAGATTTTAATATAAATAACGATATTAAATATATTAAAAAAAAATAGAATCGCTTGTCATAAGTTACCTTTGCTTGCTAAAATAGAAATAAACTTATGAGACATTATTTATAAACGCTAATTTTTAATTATCAGAGAAAGATAACAAAGAGTTAAAAAGAATTTCTTAGATTTTTGCATTTCAAATGAAACTTATATTTTAAAATTGCTCAGTAATAAATTAACTTTAGTAGAAAATTAAAAACATAAAGATTTTCATCCCTTAACAATAGCATTTTAATTTTATATTAAAACTGTGTAATTATTATATATTTTAGTAATGATTATTCGACCTTTTTGTTATTTTTTTCATTAAAATAATATTTTATTAGATATTGTTGAACTGATTTTTAAGTGTAGGTTATTTTAAACTTATATAAGAAACGGCTAAAATACGTATGTTCGTCCGGTAGCGGCACCGACTAGTTTGGAGCCGCTTGCTCAGTACAGCGTTACCCCGGGTGAAGGATACGAAACTAGTCGGTGCCGCCACCAAACATTCCTTCGGTCGTTTACTCAAACGTGAGTGTTTTGGCCGTTTTTATATAATTTTATGATAAAATCTCACGAAAGTTTTATTATTATATATGTTATTTGAGAGTAAATAAGTAGCCTTTTAGCAAACGTAAAAGTTAGCCGTGTGCCTGTCCTAGTTCATAGGTTATATTGTGTGTTTAGATGCGAATATACGCTAATTAATATGTTTTTACGTTATATTTTTAGTTCGTGATTGTGATTTATATGTAGAAAAAAATTCAATAAATATTGTACGAAATACTGCGACATGAAGTTGCTAATTCATTATTAATCATAAACACATTTTTTTAAATCATTTTGAACTTAATTAAAACATTTACTTGCAATTGTAAACGTTTTGTCACAACGCCATCTATTAGATTGTTTCGTAAACTTTATAACTTTGTTGTCAAAATATTCTAATAGATGGCGTTTGCTGTATCGATATAATTTCAATGAAGAATTTTTATGTTTTAATTTAAGTCGGAATATATGTTAGAATTTAGACCATAGTTAACATAGTATGGCTTTAATTAGCTTAGTGTTTTCTTAAAAGACTTTAGAATTGTACAAAAATATATTGAGCTGAATAATATTTATATTCTAGTCGTAATTTATTTCAATCTATTAATCTTGCAACGAAATTTTTCAAATTCTATTTTAGGTCTAGACTTGTGACAATATTAATGACAATAATATTCGATTAAGTTGACTCAATAATACTGAGTCTTATTGTATTTGAATTAATTTATATGTACATGAAACTATTTAACGCTAAATGCCTAAATAAATATTCATAAATTGTAAAACGTATTTTTTTTATATTTTTTTTTCTTCCAAAGGCAAACACCACACGAGATTCTGTCAAAGTCGAGTTTATTTTTCTTCACACATAGATGGCGGGAAATAAAATTGACAGTTGAACAAATATACCAAAGAGGTCGACCAAGAAAACAGTTATGAAATCAAACATTCTGCTTAAAATATAAAAGTATATTTCTTAAACAATTACAATTCTGTATTTTTAATTTCCTTATGCCAATTCTTAAATATATTTACAGCTTTGAAAACATCATTAGCATAGATCTGAGGTAATTCTAAAGCAAGGAAATGGCCGCCATCTTCTAATACTGTTGCACCTAAAAAGTTAAGATACTTCGTCTTCAATATACTTGGAGGTTGGTATATCATTTCGCTCTTCGTCTGGAAGGCCCAGGTTGGTACTGTCGTAGTATGCCTGAGGATATAGATAGATATTTGATAGATATAGATATTTTATTATCTTTAATCAACTAAGCTTTTAAGTTTTATTTATTAACTTATAATGTCTTTTCTATCTTATTTGAAAATGAAAAAAAATGAAAAATGATTTATTGCGTAAACAAAAATGGTACATACTAACATTTGTGCCGGGACTTCCATTTAAGCATCCATAACGGGCTTGTGATTGGAAGTCCCGCTCTTCCGTGTCACATAAACAATATCAATGGTACCTTCTTAATCTATATATTATATAAAGACAATTATACTTTAACAAACAAAACAAAATACAAAGAGTTTAATAAAAAGTAAAAAGTAAAAATGACAATAAACTAATTATTGATTTCTAAATTAAAAAGTAAAAATGAGCAGAAATGATAGAAAATAACAGAAAAACACATTTGTGTAATTTAATGTGTGTGCAATACAGGTCTATTGATTGTATGAATGTGTGTGTGTGTGTATGTTTGAGTTTGTGTGTGTATGTATGTATGAGCGTGTATGTACATGAGTGCATGTGTGTAAGTACAGTTGAATTTACATAATTATCTTTCATATACGTGGTATAGTTTGAATTAATGTTTCAGTCTCATCATAAGTTTTAGTCATTAACCAGTCAGTTACAGTCTTTTTGCATTTAAATAATTTAAGAGGGTAGATATTAATTTCTTTGTTTATTAAATTGTATAAGTTAGAGGATTGCCGAGGATATTGCCTTGCAGCAAAAGTGGAATTTGTTTTAATAACGTTAACAACGTTTTTTCTTCTTTTTTTATTAGTCACCGGGTCAAATTTTATTGATTTATGCAGTTTTAATATAGTTTGTAATATGTACAATTTTCTGATTGTCAGAACTTGAGCAATTGTAAAAAGATCACTTGTTGGAAAACAATACGGTTTAAAATAAATTACCTTTAAGAGAGATCTCTGAGATCTTTCAACATCTAAAAATTTAAGCTTAGATGCTCCACCCCAAACAGGTAAGCAATAAGTTATAACTGATTGGGCAAGTGAAATGTAAATCTGGCGTACAATATCTTTCGTGGCAACATGTCTTAAGGTCTTAAATGTCCACGTAAGTTTACGTATTCTAGTTAAAATGAGTTCGATGTGATCATGCCACGAGAGACGTTGGTCGACCATTACACCTAGGTATTTAGTATGGATTACTTTGTCAATGGTTGTGCATGCACATGAAGTGTTATTTGAGTCTGGACACGTGTGAATTTTAATGAGAAAGTCATCAGGCGGTTGTGTTCGTTCGTACTTGGTAAAACAGATGAAGTTAGTTTTTTTAGTGTTCAAAGTTAACAAATTAGAGTCTAACCAGCTTGCTACCCTCGACAGTTCACATTCAGCATTTCTCCGTACACTATCCCACGTTTTACCGTAAAAGACTAAGGCCGTGTCATCTGCGTAGGAGAAGATGTGACCCTTATTGAGCTTGGTATTGCAAAGATGATTTATGTATACAAGAAATAATGTTGGACCAAGCACACTGCCTTGGGGCACACCATAAGTAATGGTCTCCTCTGAACTGATGTAATCTCCTATTTTTACCTTCTGTTTACGATCAGCCAAGTAGTCTTCAAAAATGTTAAGAGGTTGGCCTCTAATGCCAATCTCCTCTAGCCTATGTAAAAGTGTGGGAACAGAAACAGAATCAAAAGCGTTTTTTAAATCTAAGAAAACAGCCATACATTTATAACCTTTGTCCACTTTATCAGTAACAATAGAAGTTAGTTGCAAAATAGCGTCCTCTGTAGACGTCCCTTGCCGAAACCCAAATTGTGAGGAAGATATTATGTTATTTTTATTAAGGTAATTCACTAGTTTTAAGTTGATAATTTTTTCTACTATTTTTGAAAGGGGCGTTAACACCGATATTGGCCTATAATTTGCTATGGTAGTCTTGTCTCCACTCTTGTGCACAGGGGTGATTAGGGCTTTTTTTAAGGCAGAAGGAAAGACACCGTGCTCAAAGCATAGGTTAATCAAGTTGGTAATGGTTGGGACGATGATTTCATGTGCAGCTTTAAGAAAAGCGATAGGTATATTATCTGAACCTGTTGCACTAGTTGATTTTAAACTCAGCAGAGTATTGCGCACCTCCTGATCATCAGTATTAAGAAGCACGAACGATGCAACGGGTCGGGTTGAATTTTGATTTATTTCCCTAGCTTGTTGTGATGTACGTCGTAATAAGATAGTATTAGCTAGATGTTCACCAACTGTGACAAAATGTTTGTTTACTGTATTTACTGCCTCAAAGGGGTCGCGTGCCGTCTCCAGTAAGTCAGTATTTTGTGTCTTAACTAGTTTCCGATTAGTAATTTCATTAATAGTCTTCCATAGCTTTTTAGAATCTTTACGTGCTGCAAGTAGTTTATCTCGTTCGTATTTACGCTTAAACTTTTTAATTAAAAAGTTGCAATAATTTCTATATCTTTTGAAAGTAATCTTAAGGATGTCATTATTTGGGTCGAGTTTCAACTTCTTTTGGATGGAGTTTCTATTACGAATGCATCGCAACAAGCCAGAGGTCATCCAAGGTTTTATCATTAGATTTTTTAGTGGTATGACTTTTTCAACAGTGTGGATCTTAACACAGTCTTGTAATGTTTTAATTAAGGCGTCTGTAAGTAAATTTGGATTTTTAAAAGTTAATAGCTCAGGTAGGTTACATTTCAAATGTTCAAGTGCATTTATAGTATTTAACGTCGTCTTTGTTTTAGTTTTAATGATTTTGTTGGAACATGTTTTGTTAGATATCTTTAAAATAGTCATGAGATGGTCGGTGATAGTGGTGTTGGCAATAGCAATGGCAGCCGTTTTGTTCTCGGATTGCAACTTTAGCATGACATGATCAAGACAGCTAACACCTCTAGTTGGAAGTGAATGTCCTGGTAAGAGTCCGTGCACGGCAAGCATGTTTAGATAAGCTATTCTATTTAAACGTTCGTGTGATTTTTCGTATAGTCTATAAATTAAGTTGATGTTTATATCACCCACAATTATTATATTTTTGTTATACTTAATAATTTCTAAGTACTTATCAAGTGACGAGATGAATTCATTTGCATTAACAATGGAGGGAGAACGATAAATAGCAAGGGCAGTAACGTTAGGTAGACTAACTTGCAGACAGGACGCGTGCGTTAAGTAAACTTCAGTAACAGTGGCCCTGTGGTTGCTTTTAAGATACGCAACCACACCATCTGCACGGTTGAGGTGATTTGTTGTCACATAGGAGTTATAATTCGGTATATGGGGAATGCTTTTTTCTGTTCTTAACCTACATTCACTGAGGATGATTAAGTCTGTTTGAAATTTTAGAAGAGCTAGGTTAAGTTGCAGATCATCAAAATTTGAATAAACACTTCTGATGTTTTGACATATTACAGTAAAATCATTTCGTGTCACACCTAATAGCCGAGAAATGTTTTCAATGTTATCAACATGTACAGTTGCAAATTCTATGTTATCTACTTCACATATAGTGTTAAGACAATTCATAACTGTCGTCTAATAAAGATGAACAGACTATAACTAGAAAGAAATGAACATTACAAAAATTTTTAAGTAAAGAGCGATTTAGAATGTCTGACTGGGTTGAATGTGTATTTAGAACTGTGTAAGTATATGAGTAGTGATGAGGATGTTGTGTAAAATTGTATTTATAATTTAACAATAGATGTGCATAAAAATTTACAAAGAATATACGTAACATAAAAGAAAACGAAAGCGATGAGTTAAAACAGTTAGATATGTCTAGTCATTTTACGTTCATGAGACTGTTTACTTGAGCTTCATTTTTTACTATTATAATTCGAGAATTATCATCTTTTCGGACGTAAATTCTCCCGTAGGCAGTCCAGCAATATTTGTACTGGTTTGCCTTCGCAAGATCACGAGCTAGGAAATGTAGCCTTGCGCCTTTAGCCGTCAGTTGTTCAGATATGAAGATTGGGTTTTCCATGTAGTTATTTTTTATGCCTAAATGTTTTGCACATAATTTTTCTTTGTGTCTTAGGTTGTAGGATTTTGCCATCTTAAGGAAGTCGGCTTTTTGAATAGCAGAGGACATTTCCACTATGATGGGTTGTTGTTTAGTTTGTTCTTTCTTATTCTTTGCTTGGATACGATAAATGTCTTGAATATCACGTTTCTCCACTTTACATCCAACGGTTTCAGATAAATGCTTAACCATATTTATAAGGTCTTCTTTGGATTCTTGTGGCATTTTTGGAACATTCTTGATTTCTACGTTCATTTTTCGACTTACTCTTTGGAGGTCCTCTAACTTGTCTTCTAGGATAGTTATGTAGTCTTTATCTTTTTTAGCTTGAGCTTCCATAAAATCAATTTTTCTTTTTAATTCTTCATGTTGAGCAGACAGGAACGATATCGACTTTTCTATATTACTGTTAGAAATTTGTATTTCAGATAATGTGGGAAAAATCTTTTTTATATCATTACTCTGTACGGCAAACATCGAAGATATCATGCTCTTCATTTCTTCTCTGAAGGCGTTAAAATCGACTTCAAAATTGGGTTCTCGGGCTCTTTTATTTCGCTGAGAGACATACACAGGCGATGGAAACTCTTGTGAGATATTCGATTCCGAGACCGATTTATTATTTAATGTCGACTCCATGACTTGTTACAGCTACGGCGAGTATTTATTTTAAAGTTAAACAATCCAGAAATTTTGTTTCAAATTAGAGTTTTGTAGTTAAAATTTTGTAAACAAAATGATGAATCCACGGTGGGATGAGAACGCGGTGCACTCCCGCGCACGCAGTCGAGGCCGCGTTATGCAGAAATAGGCTGACCGCTTCGTTACGTAACTCTTGAATTTTTTAAACTGTTATTAAGTTATTATGATTTTAAAAACGTTGTGGACGGTAGTTTAGATTACGAATGACATTTACACCGTCACATCAGTTATATACACTACAGGTTATTGACTAAAAAAACGAATTTAACACTGATTTTACATGCAACTATCACTGTATACTTAAATTACAACGTTTTATGTATCACATCACCAAAGCTAGGACACTTAAGTTTAAGTGAACCGTTGAAATAATTAAAATTATACGGAGCGTTATGAAACACGTCTACTCTGTTCGCGATGTGAGAGGGAAGAGGCCTGAGGAGAAAATTAAAATAAATATTTGCGTTCTCAATAGCTATAGATTTTTAAGGAAGATATGAAGTCAAACGTAACCCATAACTGTTAGGAGGACACTGCCGATGTATCGCAACACTAGTCTTATTAAAATGTCGACGTTTATGTCCCCTCATTAATCTGACACTTGACTTGGTAACGTAAGCGCGCCATTTACGCCAATTGATTCTAATTAATAATTGTCTAAAATAACGAATTAATTTAATTGTTTAAAAGTAGATGACTCTTTTCGTTATTCAAAATCATATTATTATTGACCCGTCACATAAATTCGTCAAAATGGCGACGCGGTCGATGCTCAGATGCATTACCAGGAGACGCACGGACAATGTATCCCCTTACTAATGGTCCCTTCCTATATCAATAAATATATTACTTTATCATCATCAGCTCACTATACGTAACCACCGAGGGGCTCGGACCCTACCCTAAGAGTGATTAGGCCATAGACAACCACGCTGGCTAAATGCGGGTTAACTTCACACATATCTTTGAATTTCATCTAAGATATGTAAAGGTTGCATCACGATGTTTTCCTTCACCGTAAGAACGTCGGATAAATGTACATATGTAAATCGGAAATCGAAAAACACATTGTTACATGGTAGTATTCGAACCCAGGACCTGTAGATTGCAAGTCAAGTGCTTGACCACTGAGCCACCGACGCTCCATTCTAACTTATAATGTCTAAAATATTATTACTTACGAATCTAAGCTCAGTTGTCTGTTCTTGTTGCTCGTTTCTTCTGCATACAATCTCATTGATGTTGTGATACAATTAGTCGTCCAATATATCATAAGATTGTCAATAAGTTGCTCCTTCGTGAACCTCAACTCTAAACCACCGTCTGGCTTTAATTTGTTCTCTAAATTCGTCCACGTTGAGAATTTCTCTAAAATATAAGCTAAAAGACCCGACGGAGAGTCTGTGAGACTGACGCCTGAAAAAAAAAAGGAAAAAATTAGAAAAGTTTCTAGTAACTGTTATACAAAAGATGGATGAATTTTATTGTGCCTTTGTCTAAATTTCGTACACTTGAAATTAAAAAAAAACTTGGTAGTCTATGCGTTATTCCAGATCTTTCTCTGTGTCGTTCATCCAGATTTGTGTTTCAACATGGACTCTTCCGAATAAGTTATACGTTATTTAAATATTCAAAAAACCTTCAGATTTTTATAAAAAAGTCTCGATGCAGAAATATGCACATTATCATTTGGTAGAACATAATTTGGAAGAATACATAAGCTACTGAGTAAGTTTTATCCACGCAGACGGAGTCGTGGACGAAATTTAGTTTGATTTAATAAACTTACCAACTGTATCAGGCTTAGTTGCCTGTATATGTGCGTATCCAGTTTCTTCTAGAAGATACGCGAACATAGAAGACAGAGGATACAAACGACTTGCTAGATGACTCTCCACCACCAGAGATGGGATGAAAGCGCCCAAGATTGTTTTGAATGCTGCCTGTTTGTTCTGGAAACAAGAAAATTAAGCTACAGAACAGATAAAACTTTTAAAATTTTGTTAATTTAAGTATAAATGCGAAAGTTTACATGGATGTTTGTTTAAAGATATCTCCAGAACGGCTGTACGGATCTCGATGAAATCTGACAAACATATAGATCATAGTCTGTAGAGCACATAGGTTACTATGTTTTTTTAATTCCGCGCGGAAGGAGTAGCGGGCGACAACTGGTATTTAATAAAATAACTTCTCTATCTTAATAACTTAATTAAAGAATATTTTTTTCCTTACTTCTTAAAGTACTAGACACTAGAGTCTTCTACGTGAACTATTAAAATTTATACTATTAGCGTTCGCCGGCGACTCCAACCGCACGGAATTTAAAAAAAAAAACATAATTAGTAGCCTATGTGTTCTTCCAGACTATTATTCTATATGTATGCCAAACTTCATAAGGGTTCTGCTCAGCCATCCTGGTGATACCTTCTAACAAACATCCATCCAAACATTCACATTTATAATATTAGTAAGATTTACTCTTCGTGAATCCCTTACCCTTGCCATCGCGAAGTTATTATGATGTCCTAGTATATCTTCAGGGTATAAGACAGTTAGTGCAGATGCGACTGCTGATCCCCAGTCACCACCTTGGATGTAGAACTTCTTGAAGCCAAGTCTGCTCATCAGGTTTTTGAAGATGACCGCTATTTGTCCTGGAGCCACGCCAGGACGTACTGGTGCCTGGAAACAAAGAAACATGTAACATACGAGACGAAAAGAGATGTTAATTTAAAATATACGTAGCAGAATCTTTTATTATTTAAGATTTTAAATTTGTTTTAATTCGTGATATTATTTTACAATATATTCGTATATAAGTTGTCGCCCGCGACTGCGTCTATAACTGTTGGTCGCAGCATAATGTTATATAGCTTAAAGCCTTCCTCTATAAATGGACTATCCAACAAAAAAATAATTTTTCAAATCGGATAAGTAGTTTCTGAGATTAGCGCGTTTAAACAAACTCTTCCGATTTATATTCTTTTCGTTAAATAGCTATGTTGAAAAAAAAGTTATTTTTTTATTTTTTTTTATTTACTACAATTTTATTTCCAAGATCAGTCAATAGATGGCGCTGTACTTACATCTGAGAACCCATAACCAGGTAAACTCGGCACCACAAGTTCAAAGGCAAAGTTATAACCTGGCTGTTGTTTCGTCAAGATAGGTATAGCTTCGTAAAACTCTCGCACGGAACCTGGCCAGCCGTGTAATAACAATAAAGGCACGATTTCCACTCCTGCTGGTACCTGATTGGAATGATATTAAGAGTAACATTTATTTTTTTTATTTTATAAGTAGCTTTTACCCGCGATTCTGTTCGGACTGAATTTAAAAAAAATAGTAGCCTATGTTCTTCTTTGTTCTACATTTAAGCGAATCTATGCAGCCGTTCTGGAGATATCTTCAAACAAACATCCATCCATCCAAATATTCGTATTTATAATATTAGTAAGATGAGGAATATGAGTCCTCGGCGCAAGGTTTCGCAAAAGAATTTTCAGCACTACAGTCTTGAAATAACATAAATGAAAATAATAATAATTACCTGTGGTTTTACTCGTACGAAATGTATATCCAGACCTTGAATATTCGTTTTGAAATGAGGATATTTATTCAAAAATGCCTCCCTTTCTTTGAACGGATACTCCTCAGCCCAGTATTTTAACCATGGTTCTATAGCTTTGCTATTAAATCCGTATTCGAATGCAACTCCTTCTAAAGGTGGTACGAGTTGTCTATGATTTTTCAAACGACTTCTTAAATCTTTTATCATCTGTAAATAAAATTGTGTATTAAAAAAACAGAAGTTTCTAAATCGAAGTTTAATACAACGCCATCTATGTTTTAGTTTTAGAAAAAGGTTTTTTTTTCAAAAATAAAACTTGAAACAGCCGATCTTAATAATTGATCAATAATCAGAGCTAATTCTTGAAATAAAATTTGAATTACTTTGACTCGACGGACTAATGACGAGCGTCTTTTTAATAATAGATAAAGTTTTTCTATAAGAATAAAGATGGGAAGAGAAAGGGAATTAAAATTAGGCGTCCGGGACGGAGCAAATCAATTTTAAGCTAAACAAAACTTACCTCATCGGTAAATTTAACTTGGAACGGCCTTATACTTGTATCTTGCTTTCCCTTAAGTTCCTTTGGTCCCCACCATTCTTCAGGATCTAGTTTGGGAGGTTGTGAAGACCCGCTGCTTAATGCTGACCAACATATGTACGTCACAACGATGACAAACAAGCCCAGTAGGATTTTAGCCATCCTGTATATTGAACCAGCCAGTCTGTTAAACGATTTGAAAAGAAATAAATTATTTTTTATGTACACAGATTATTTATATTTTATTGATTTTTTTATCAGAATAATCTAATCTTACTACGAGTCATATTAATTGTATCGACAGCTCCAAAGTACAGTACAGTTTTTTTTTTATATCATAAGGTGGCAAACGAGCGTGTAGCCACCTGAAATCGTTGATATAGCGAAGTGACCGTTGTCCATAGACATACGCAATTGCATATGCGTTGCCTACCTTTAATCGACGGAGGAGAGGATGCACAAAAAGAAAATATATTCCCTTTCTATGCATCCTCTCATCCGGAAAGTCCACTTCCACTTGCCATCCTTTCCTTATAAGAAAAAGGGTGGGAAGGGAAAGAGGACTAAATTAGGCCTCCGGGACGCACACTCATCAGACAAAATGCGGAATTGCTTCCACTTGACGCCTGTCTTCTGTATGGTCGTGGTATTTCACCGGGCGAGCCGGGCCAATTCGTGTGAAGATGTTAAAGCGGGCTATACCACTGTATTTCTTGGAATAACTTTCTACTTATAAGTGTGCCTTTTGATTTTGCGTACTTTTCAGTATGATAATACTAATTGTTGCCCGCGACTTTGTCAGTGTAAAATTAGAAAAAACAAAATGTCTACGTAACTCGTAGACGTAGCTTTACAATACTAAATAAATTTCAAATCAGTTCAGTGGTTTTGGAGACTATTTAATGAAAACAATCAAATCTTTTCTCTTTATATCTTACTAATAATATAAATGAGAATGCATAGATGGATGGATGTTTGTTTGAAGATAGCCTAAAAGAACGCATAGGCTACTTATTAAGGTTTTTTTTTTAAATCCGCGCGGACGGAGTCGCGGGTGACAACTAGTTTTAGTATACTACCCGTTACTGTACTGTTTACCAGAATACTACGAACATTAGACGTGAAGGTGTGTTTTTTATGTCAGAAATAAACTGAGACCAATATGGTTTGATGTAACGGTTTTGGCTTCCCCTCACGTGTTTATATAATCTAATTGTGCTAAATACTTACTTCCTTACTTATAATATAAATGCGAAAGTAACTTTGTCTGTCTGTCCGCCGATTTAAATGTAATTTGTTACACATAGTATAGAGTCTGAGAAAGTACATAGGCTCTTTTCTAACACGAAAAAAGGGTGTAAAAAGGCATGGAAAGTTGTATGGAAGTGTCTTAATTTTCAGTTAGAAGCTTGAAAGTTATTTTTTAGGCTGTTAATCTTTATATATATATAATTCTTCTGTGAGTGTGTATGTCATTGAACTTCTCTCAAACGACTGGACCGATTTTGATGAAATTTTTTGCGTGTGTTCAAGGGGATCCGGGAATGGTTTAGATTCACAATTTTGTCCGCTGGACAATGTTTTTTTGATTAATTTTTAGTTTATTAGTAGTTGTTGATTTTGGAATGTTTTACATTGGATCCGACAGACGGCGCTACCATCGCAGTGTCAAATTTTCAAATTAAAGACGTGTAGACAGGACAACGTCTGTCGGGTCCGCTAGTATGATATAAATAAATATAGCATTATGTTTGTATAAGAATATGTGACTTTATATTAATGTGTTGTAAGTCTAAAAGCTAAGATGGATGTGTGGTGTGACACGAAAGGATAAAGTTAAAAATGTGCATTAGAGGAAGTTTGAAAGTAGCGCCAGTAGAGAAATTGAGGAGTAAAAGATTAGCGTGGTTTGGACATGTTATGAGGAGGGATGATGATGATATAAGCAAAAAAGTAATGAGATTGAATGATGATGGCTACAAGGGTAGGGGAAGACCAAAAAAAGTATGGGATGACTGTGTGAAAGAGGATATGCGTAAGAAGGGGGTAGACTCGGATATGACGGCTGATAGAGATGTATGGAGGAGTACATACTGTGCCGACCCTCGATAGGGATAACGGCAGGTTGATGACGATGATGAAGTAAGTCTAAAACCTCTTGTTCTTATGTTTTATAATTAAGTAAAATAATTAGCTTAATAATTAAAATGCTATCCAAAAACAATATTTTACGCGGACGAAGTCGCGGGCACAGCTAGTTAATAATATATGTTTGTAGTTTGATATGATATCTGTTATTTATTTAATAGTACAAAGAAATTTACAATCGTCTACTTTAAAAAATACATTTAGTAAATATTTTTTTATTACGTATTTTTACCTATAATATTATAAATGCGAATGTTTAGATAGAGTTTGTTTGAAGATATCTCCAGAACGGCTGAACGGATCACGATAAAATTCGGCGTAAATATAGAACATTGTCTGGAAGAACGCATACGCTCCTAATTTTTGTTTTAATTCTGCGCGCGGAGATATATACAATAAAACATAATTCAAACGCAATTAACACTAATAAAATTTTAATCACTCACTGAAATCCGTTATGGATTAAAAAAGTCTTTTCAGCTCGTTTGTCACTGGCACTATTAATAAAAAAATAATAATTGAATAACGTTATTTAAATAAAAATGTTGACGAGTCACAATGAACGTGCGACTTCACCGGACACGTACAATAAAATGATTCGTTGTGATGATACGACGAATCGACGAATGTGTAACAGGGTCACAAGAAATGAAAAACAAATAGGACATTCCATTGAAACTGTAAGTAAAAAAACGCATTTTTATGTAAACACTAGCGATTACCCGTGACTTCGTCAGCGCAGTGTTACAAAAGTAGCTAAAATATGCCCGTATTCATCAGATTCCTTCTCGTGAAAGTCGCTTAAAAGCCGTTCCGGAGATAACCCGGAACAAAAGTGTCCATACGCATAAATATGCAGACAAAAATAGTTAAAATAGTTGTTGACAGCAACTCAACTTTTTTTTCTCTACAACATATACAAACACTCCAATTTTATTAATATGTAGAGACTAGCTGTCACCCGCGACTCCGTCCGTGCGGAATTACATAATAAATAAATGCCTATGTGTTCTTTCAGACTATGTTTTATATCTATGCCAAAATTCATCAAGATCTAACGAGTTGTTCCGAAGATATCTTCAATCAAATATCCATGTAAACATTCGCATTCGCATGAATTATGTATTAGTAAAAAAACTCCACAAAAGTACAGAATGTTATATAATTTACTGTCAACAGCCATCGCGTTTTTGATCGTTTTATCAAGATTTAGCAAGCTGGTGTATATGGCACCCAGATCATTACTACACGTATCTTTTTGTCTTATAAAACTCCATAATTACCTAATCCCTAACTTCATAAGCGCCGAAAATATCAAAAAGGAAAAGAACTGATTGCTCGGCATCAGTGACCAGGCTAATAAAAAAATCTTACTAACAATCTTATATTATGGACTGGGAGGAGAAATCGCAAAAGGCAACTTTGGCGATCTCTTGTGTCAGAAGCCAAAACCCACATTGGGTAACTGCGCCAGCGTAGTAACAATCTTATTTATTGCGGGAATGTCCCAATTATTCACACATCAAAATGGTCACCGTAACCTCGTCAGACTGAATATATAGGTTGCTATTGCGTAACAGTTAACTAACAGATAACTTGTCAAAATTACTTTAAAAAATATATCCTTAATAAATTCTCTCAAGTATTAACAAAACTTTATTTATTTTAATACTATCTATCTCCCTTGACTCCGTCCGCACGGAATTAAAAACAAACTTAATAAGTAGCCTACGTGTTCTTGAAAATATGTTCTACGTCTATACCAAATTACATCGAGATCCGTTCAGCTGTGCCGGAGATACTGTTAAAAAAGTCCATCCATCTATACATTTGCATTTATACTATTACTAACTATCGCCTGCGACTCCGTCCGCACGGAAAATAACCTAATAAGCCTATGTGTTTTTCCAGACTATGCTTTACATCTATGACAATTTTCATAGAAATTCGTTCAGCCGTTCTGGAGATACATTTAAACAAACATCCATCCATCCAAACATTCGCATTTATAATATTAGTAAGATTATAATTATTATTACTTAGATTAAGATTAATTGATAGTAAATGCTTGAAAATCTTTTTCTTACCTTTCAGTTCCCTGTTAATTTTTCAAAATTAAAAAAAATATATATAAATCATAACTTTATTTATTTAAAACACTTTACAGCTCTGAATTCTTTGATTCATTTTTGTGCCAATTTTTAAATTCATCAACAGCTTTGAAGACATCTTTCACGAAGATTTCAGGCAGTTCAAAAGCGAGGAAATGACCGCCATCTTCTAAAACTGTGGTGCCCAGAAGGTTGATGTACTTCGTCTTCAGGATGCTGGGAGGTTGGTACACACCTTCGTATTTCGCTTGGAACGCCCATGTTGGTACTGGAGTCGTGTAACTGTAGAACAGATTAATATTTAAATTTCCCAAACAAGTAAGAATTTTAAGAGTGGTAGAGCCCGCTTTAACATCTTCGCACGAATTGTCCTCGTCTGGTGAAATACCACGACCACACAGAAGACAGGCGTCAAGTGGAAGCAATTCCAACTACAGTCTGATGAGTGTGCGTCCCGGAGGCCTAATATAGTCCTCTTTCTGTTTCCAACCTTTTTCTTATAAGAGAAGGATGGGAAGTGGAAGTGGACTTTCCGGATGAGAGGATGCATGGAAAGGGAAGATATTATCTTTCTGTGCATCCTCTCCTCCGTCGATTAAAGGTAGGCAACGCATATGCAATTGCGTATGTCTATGGACAACGGTCACTTCGCTATTTCAGCGATTTCAGGTGACTGCTCGCTCGTTTGCCACCTTTACATATAAAAAAAGAAAGAATCTTCGAAATTTAAGAAAAGAATAATCGTAAAACAAAAATCGTCGCGTAAAAATATTGCGTACACTAAGCTGACTTCCTTTGCCACATTTTTCTTTTTTTGTGCAAATCCTTGCTTTGTGTTAACTCTATTATGTTTCATTATAAGCTCACTATACGACCCCACCGAGGGGCTCGGAGCCTACCCTAAGTTAAGGGTGATTATATGTAGTAATATTATATTTCTTTCTTTTAAATTCTTTCTATATGGACACGAGTATTGTGTACTGTTATCAAGCAATTTAGTTAATAAAAATCTACGTGTTGCGATTTACCGTTCTCTTGAGACCTTCTGTAGAGTTAAAAGGTTTAAAAGAATACGGTTTCTAGCCAGAGATGTATGCGTAGAAAGAGATGGATTGCATGAAAAGTGACTTAATTAAGAAGGGAACGAAAGATAGATAGATTTGGAAGAGGGAAACAGAATGCGCTGTCCCTATAAGTGGGACAAGGACAGGGAGATGATGACGTCATTAGGTTATTTTTTCTCGGATTGTATTATAGGAGTTTATTATTGTTTTTTTTTTGTTTACTTACTCATCAATCTCCAACTGTCTGTTCTTAGTGCTCAAATCTTCAGCGTACAGTCTTATTGAAGTTGTAATTCTATTAGTAGACCAGTAGACCATCAGGTTGTCGATCAGCTGTGTCTTGGTGAACCGTCTCTCAAGGCCTCCGTCAGGTAACTTGCGGTGATTACGGTTTGTGTTTGTTGAATATTTCTCTAGGATATACGCGAGAAGACCAGACGGAGAATCGGTTAGGGCAACACCTGGAAACAAGATACATTTTTAAATAATCCTAGGATAAAAGATGATATAAAATTAGATTTTAATTTTTAAAGTATTTTTCTATTAAAATCTCCATGTCTTTATCCTGTTTTATGTGGAGTCTGTGCACCAGATTATTGTCCTCAATCTCCCTCCTCCCTTAAGTTTCCATTTCTCTTTTTCTGTTTGTGTATTGTCGTAATTTAATTTGAATTCACTTTTTGCAACTCATTGGATACAAGGTAAAGGACACTTACCAACTGTATCTGGTTTGGTGGCCTGAATATGGAAGTATCCGAATTCTTCCATCAAGTACGCAAAGAAGTCAGAGAGAGGATACATTCGGTCTGCCAAATGACTCTCCACCACAAGAGATGGGAAGAAAGCGCCAAGCATTGTTTTAAACCCACCTTGTTTACCCTGTAAAAATTAACATCTTATATATAAAATTCTCGTGTCACAATTTTCGTTCCCATACTCCTCCGAAACGGCTTGACCGATTCTCATGAAATTTTGTGAGCATATTGAGTAGGTCTGAGAATCGGCCAACATCTATTTTTAATCCCGCGCGGACAAAGTCGCGGGCGACAGCTAGTTATTCTATATAACTCTTATAACCATTTAAGAAACTCCTTGTATTTGATAGTTTTAAAGTAATAAAATACAAGTATTTGTACCCACAGAAGCTTTGTTATCGCGTTTTATTTAAAGAAATTAATACTGAATTTAGCGCCATCTTTTATTGATTTATTGACAACAGATAACGTACTTTATTTTATGTTGAGGTCAACATAAAATAAATTTTAATTGTTGACAAATAGATGGCGTTACTTGGCTTTTTTTAATTTTCTAAAATAAAATTCCTTACCTGAGTAATAGCCATATTCGTATGGTAACCTAATACATCTTCAGGGTATAAGGTGGCCATCGCTGAGCCAGTAGTGGAGCCCCAATCTCCGCCCTGAATGTAAAACTTCTTGAAGCCAAGTCTCGTCATTAGATTCTTGAAAATCACTGCCATTTGCGTTGTTGATAACCCTGGTCGGACCGGTGCCTGGATTACACGGAAAAAATCAATATTTTACAGTAGTTCGAAAAAAACATCTAGCAACCAAATAAGAAGCAGTCCGTAACATGGTTGAAGTCATATGCTGTGGTGCTGAGATTTTTTTTAAGTTCATCAGAAAAACAAATAGGCAATGAACTTTTATAAGATAATTATTAACTACTCCCAACTTATAGACATTATTAATTAGAATCCTTTGGCGAGAATGGCGCGCTTTCGTTACAAAGTCAAGTGTCAGATTGATTAGTGAGGGGACATAAACGTTGACAATTTAATAGAACTAGTGTTGCGCCGATTACCGGCACAGTGTTGAATTATCTTCCTAATACTATTAATCTAAGGCTTAAGATTTTAACGTAGGCCATTAAAAGCGAATACGAAAAGGTCGCCTCTTTAAAACTGATGAATTTGAAATCATACTCATATTTAGTACTTAGGCCATTTTTAGTACTTATAAATGTTTAAATTACAATTATTAACTCTTTATATATTTACCAAATTGTGTACTTACATCAGAAAATCCGAATCCAGGTAAACTAGGTGCAATTACTTCAAACGCGAAGTTATATCCAGGCTGTTGTTGTGTCAATAAAGGTATAGCTTCGTAGAACTCTCTTACAGAGCCTGGCCAGCCATGCAATATAATCAAAGGTACTACATCTACTCCAGCTGGGACCTGGAAATAACTGAATATGTAACTCAAATTTGTTTTTAATTAATTGTTGCATAACATCTGTGGGGTTAGACAAAGTACATTCGCTCCCAAGCGATTCCATAACGAACTTAAAAAATGTACAGAACTGAGGCGCGACAATCACGTGACTTATCCATAGTTATTGTCAGTTCTATACATTTTTGAAGTTCTTTATAGTATCGTTTAGAAGCGAATGCATTTTCTCTAACCTATGTATGTTGCATGCATTGGGTTGGCTCGCTCGCTGTAATACCGCGACAACACAGAAGACAGGCGTCAAGTGGAAGCCATTCCGCATTTCGTCTGAACAGTGGGAGTGCCGGAGGCTTAATTTTAGTCCTCTTACCCTTGCCACCCTTTTATTATAAGGGAAGGTTGGAAAGGGGAAGTGTATTTGATGGAGGAAGGAATAATATTAGCTTCTGTGCGAACTGTTCCGTGGATTAACGGTAGGCAACGCTTATGTTGCGGATTTCTATGGGCTGCGACCATTCCTTTATTTCTCTCTTTAATTCAAAAGTGATGAGCTTGGATTGCTATCCTTACCTGTGGTTTGATCCTCATGAAGTGGATATCCAGACCTTGGATATTAGTCTTGTAATGCGGGAATTTATTGAAAAATGCCTCCCTTTCTTTGAAAGGATACTCCTCAGCCCAGAATTTTAACCAGGGTTCTATCGCTTTAGTGTTGAAACCATATTGAAAGGCTATACCTTCCAAAGGCGGGGTGAACGGCCGATGATTTTTCAGTCGATTTCTAAGATCTTTTATCATCTGAAAATCAATTTAATTAGCTTAATTTTTGTGTTTATTTAAAGCTTGATCAAGTGCGTTAGTTTCTAAAGCGCCATCTTTCTTCTTTCATTAATGATTTGTTTATTTATTTATAGTGTTATCCGAAAGATGGCGTTGTATTATATTGTCTAAAACGTTTCTATTTTCTGTAAGCTCTTTGATTCAACTCGAATTTGTAACTAAGAAAATGTCATTGAATATAAATTTTATATTTATTATGAAGGTTACATACCTCTTCGATGAACTGTACTTTGAAAGGTCTGATACTGGTATCCTGTTTCCCTTTAAGTTCGTTCGGCCCCCACCATTCATTTTGATCAATTTCTAGGCGTTTAGGAGATTCACTGGAGAACGCCGACCACGCTATGTAGACCACCACTAGGGCACCAAAACCGAGCAGAATTTTTGACATCTGAAAGACATAATTTATTATTATATATTGTAAAACCTATTCGATTATGTACTGCCTATTGTCTATACTAATTTAAGTAAATAGGAATGCTTGGATGGATGTTTATTTAAAGATATCTTCAGATCGATTGCATGGATCTCACTGAAATTTGTCATAGATGTAGAACATTTAAGTTCCAATAGCCTAATGGTTAAGGGTACGAATTTCCGATCACTTAGAGTTCGAATCCCGCCATTCGACTATTGTCGTAAACCATATCCTAACACAAGCCTAGAGCTTAGTTGGAATAAAATCAAGAATCTGCTATTATTTAAAAAAAAAACTAATTAAGTTTTTTTTTTTAAATTCCACGGACAGTCTCTGGCGACAGTTAGTGATATTTAAAAAAGGAATGATTTGACAGTATTTAATAATATCCGAAACTGAACCGATTCTTGGGAATACTGCTAGTAAAATGTCAAAGCCAGTCCTAAATATTCGTAAGGGAACACAATAATATTTACACTTTCTTTTTTTATAACAGATGGGGGCAAACGAGCAGCGAGAACACCGAGGTGTTCAACGACGCCTATGGACATCAGCAATACCAGAGGAAACGCGTTACGTTGTCGGCCTTTGAGATAGTGATAAGCTCGCTTCATGAAGGACCCTTAGCGGTTTTATAGCAACTCCTCGTTTACCTTAGCACTGATTCAACTCGCACTGGCATATAGACTTTTATACCCTTTGCTACGATTTCTTCTCAACTATTGAAGAGTGATGATATTTTTGAACTGGTAAAATATAAATGCACTTTTTATACAGATATGTTTTAAAATTATATTTTTTATGTATTTCTTTCTATACAGTTTGATGTAAACTGTTTGAAAAATTTTAAATGTAACGTTATTTAAACATTGAAAGAACAACGCAGTCATTGTGAATTGGATTAAATCCTGAACACGTGGTGATAAGATTTTATGGACAATAATACAATATGGTAACCATTTATTTTGAAATCTAAAAGACACGTGAAATCTATATGTTGTACTGTTTTATAATAATTTCAAACTTACTAATATTATAAATGTAAAAGTTTAGATGGATGGATGTTTGTTAGAATGTAACTTCAAAACAGCTCCATGAATCTCGCTGAAATTATGAATAGATGTAAAAAAAGTAGATAGATCATTTAAAAAATATGTATTTACAATTATATGGTACTGTCCAATTCTACAATTATAGTAATACTAGATGTCACCCGCGAATCCGTCCGTGTGGAGTTAAAAAAACATTATTAGTAGCCTATGTGCTTGCATTATGTTCTATATGTATGTAAAATTCATCGAGATCCGTTCAAAAGTTCTGGATATACCTTCAAACAAACATCCAGCTAAACATTCGCATTTATAATTTTAGTAAGATAGTAAGTTCACTTTTTTGATATACAACTCCGAGCACTTTTTTTTTCATTCATTCATTCATCATCAGCTCACTATACATCCCCACCGAGGGGCTTAGAGCCTACCCTAAGTGAAGGGTGACTTTTTTTTAGAAAATAATAATCTTAACTAATAAAATATATGGAGGCGTTCCTTTAACTTTTATTCAAAAGAATAATACCATAGTAGTATTAAAGACATGTCCCAACTTTTTTCGTAAAATCATGGAGACCCTACTAAAATCGTAATATTACTTAACATGATGCTTTTGCATAAAATATAAAATGACACAATTTCATTAAAAATTGAATAGTCGGATGAGTGTTCATATTATTATCATTGTTATTGTAATTGCTCGATAAGGGTCGATTTGTACGATTTTTTTTTGCATCGATTACAAATTATCTTATTTCTAATACATAGTGAAGTAACGATGGGCAAGATTGAAGGCAAGAGACGCGTTTGACGTAGGAAAAAGTAGTGGCTACGTAACATTAGGTCAGCGGAGGAACTGTTTCGCCTTACTCTTGACAGAACCAAATATTCCAAGTTAGCGGCCAACCTTCAAGAAAAAAGAGGCACTAGAAGAAGAATTGAGTTACAGACCCATGAAAAATTATTCCAGCATGAACATAGGTACGATAATACGAATTTTATTGAATATTTGTTAGCATTCTTTTCTGCACATCAGAAATTGTCGTCTGTCTTGTTGCTATCAACTGAGATAATTGGCGTCAAGATGGCAAAAATCAAATAGGCACAAAATATCCCGGCTTATAGCCTCCAGTGGAATATAGAGGTTATTGTTTTCACGGCACTTTCATTCAGAATAAATAATATATATTAGGTGTAAACACAAACACTCTGGTTTTCTGAGACCGAAATCTCTGTATAAAACATATCGTCATTCCTGCAATTACCTTTGACAAAACAAAAATAACAACACACTCTCAGAAACACACAGTTAGATATTTAATAATCTGAATAAATATCACTAACACTAAAGAGTATAAAACACTATAGACGGTGTATAGTCTCGTAGACCCGACTACTGTATTAATAGTTTGACCTTCACTATTGAGAATCGTAGGGTAACAACATTTTCCAATTTCTCATGTAAATAAGATTCTTTGGAGAGTTTTTTTTTCGTAAGTTTTGTATAGCGATTCGTTTTATAAAGACATCAAATTACACCTTATTTTTACGACTGTTATTGTTGTAACACATCCATTGTAAATGTAAGGTTCGCAAAAAAATTAATAGCGCCTAACAATTGTTAATTTTGGTTGATTAAAATCACTGTAAAACGACGATTTTTGGTAATGGCAACATTTGATATATGTCCTTTTGGTTTAAAAGCGGGCAACCCCGAATAGGTTCGTAGGTGTCATCACAGATGACAGTCGTCAGTTGTCATCAGACAGTCTAGCTGTGCGTACGTACAAATTCGTTGACAAATCTCTATAAATCTTTGCAATCCGATTGGATATTGATGTGAGGTTTTCACTAAAGTTTAAACAGCTGTTTTATTTATATTACAAGATTATTATTTCATGAAAATATTATTTAATTAAACTTAATCATAACGATTACTTTAGCACAAGTAAATTATAGTTACATTTTTATCATATAACTGTCTTATTTTTGTGAATTTGATGGTGGCCCTAGCTCCTAACAGATGTTGCATAATATAAATAAAATTTTGTTTCGAGTCAGCATGACTCGGCAGTTAACAAGTTCAAGGTTTTTGTCTACATCGTTGTACGTAACGTATCTCTAAAAATATATTTCCTACATACCTAGATAATTTTTTTATATACCTAGTTATATTAATTTATTATTTATATAATGTTTATTATTTAAATAGTATTAAAACTGTAATAATTTCTATTCAATTTAAAGAGCTTTAAAATTAAAATTTCGTTCAACAAATATTTAAAAAAAAAGTACATGAAGGGGATTGAACCCAGACCTATAGATTACGATACCAATGCCTACCCACTTAGGTATCATATCGTCTCTATACAAGGCATAATCTTACTAATATTATAAATGCGAATGTTTAGAAGGATGGATGTCTGTTTAAAGGTTTTCAATGAAATTTGGCATAGATGTTGAACATAGTCTGGAAGAACACATAGGCTACTATTTTTATTTTTAATTCCACCTGGACGGACTCGCGGGTGACAGCTTTTTTTAACCGACTTAAAAAAGGAGGAAGTTCTCAATTCGTCTGTATTTTTAAATAAAAGAGGTCAGTTAATTTTTTTTTAATATAAAATGTTTTTATTCCTTACAAATTAATTAACTAAATTAAAGCATCTATACATCTCATAATTCTGTCTTCGCAGTTTTCTTATGCCAATTTCTGAACGCATCAACAGCTTTGAAGACATCCTTCACGAAGACTTGGGGCAGTTCCAAGGCAAAGAAGTGTCCACCGTCGTCCATCACTGATGTGCCCACGAGATTGGGGAATTTCAGTTTTAGGATACTTGGTGGTTGGTACATTGCTTCGTTCTTCGCTTGTAGTGCCCACGTTGGTACTGGGCTGGGGAATCTGAAGATAAAAATTATTTATATTATATCTATTTAATTTGTTGGGATTTTTTAATGTTAGCAACTTTTTTAATTTACTAATATTTCTTGTAACATTCCAACTAAGCTCTAAGCTTGTGCTAGGATATGGTTCACGACAATAGACTAATGTTGTGATTCGAACCCCCGACCACATATTTGGAAATCCGTACTCTTAACCATTAAGCTACTCAGCTATTAAGTTCAAAAGACTTCGAGGCTTTCGAAGAAGGTATAAAGAATTTATAAGTAGAATACTAAATAAGATAGACTGCAGGAACACTAATCAACCAAGATGACTTACTCTCCAATTTCCAACTGTTGATTCTTCCTGCTCATCTCCTCAGAGTACAATCTCATAGAAGTGGTAATACAGTTGGAAGCCCAGTACATCATCAGGTTGTCGATCAACTGAGCCTTTGAAAAACGGAACTCCAGTCCACCGTCTGGCTTGTGACGATGATCACGACGTGTCCATACGGAGAACTTCTCCAGAATGTAGGCGAGAAGACCGGACGGGGAATCAGTTAATGCCGTACCTGTAACCAGAAATATCTAGTTTAATCCAGCACAAACCAACCAGACTAGGTAATATAGAAAAGATGGTACAATATCAAATTATTTTGAATTTAAATTCTTTTTTTCATAAAACCTACATTGCTGTTAGAGTTCGTGACTTGATCAATAGCTTTCTTTTGAGCATTCCATATTTAAATTGTTCCCTTTGATTTTATGGCATAAAAAAAATATTTAATATCTGTTTCAAAAAACAATTGCTTCAAAGCAGGCTTTGCCTTTGCTACTATATTTTTTTTCTTACCAACAGAATCCGGTTTGGTGGCCTGTAGGTGGTAATATCCGAATTCTTCCATTAAGAAAGCGAAGAAATCAGACAGAGGATACATTCTCTCTGCTAAGTGACTCTCCACTACTAGAGATGGAATATAAGCCCCAAGTATCGTCTTCAAGGTTGCTTGTTTACTCTGTAATTCAAAAATTAAAGAAGATAAATATTAGTGGGAACAGAAAAGTCCAAGAAATATATTACACGAACCTAGCTCAGGCAGAGAAAGACAATTGAAATCTCAAGTAATGAATCTGATCTGTCTGCAGGACGAAACTTGGAGCACTGGCCGCATACAATAGGATAAGAAGACCATAAACTTACTTGAACCACGGGCATGTTTGTATGCTGACCGAGTACATCTTCAGGGAACAATGTTACCAGAGCAGCAGAAACAATCGATCCCCAATCACCACCTTGTACGTAGAACTTCTTAAAGCCAAGTCTGTGCATGAGATTCCTGAAGATCACGGACACTTGTGGTGGCGCCAGGCCGGGGCGTACTGCACCCTACAAGAATATTGCATAATAAGACCAAAATCTTGGAGTTCTTTCCAAAGACAATCCAAGTATAATAATAACTAGCTTAATTGATTTATTTTATACTTTGAATGGCTTTCATTAATTATGAAGTATGAGCGTCGGTGGCTCAGGGGTTAAAGCACTTGACTTGTAATGATAGGTCCTGAGTCCCAATCTTGCCATGTACCAATATGTTGTTCGATTTATATATGTCCGATTAACATTTATCATATGTTCTTACGGCGAAGGAAAACATCGTGATGCTGCACATATCTGTGAAGAAATTCAAAGAAATGGATGAAGTCAACCCGCACTGGGCCAGTGTGGTGGAGTGTATAGTGAGCTGATGATGATTTATGAATTCTTACTTGTGAAAATCCGAATCCAGGTAGACTAGGAGCAATAACCTCAAAAGCAAAGTTATATCCTGGCTGTTGTTTAGTCAGTAGTGGTATAACTTCATAAAACTCTCTCACGGAACCTGGCCAGCCGTGCAATATTAGTAAAGGCAATATTTCCACGCCAGCTGGTACCTGTAAATAATACACCGATTTAATAATCTAGCCTTGAATTAGAAGATACTTATAAGCTCATTTTTGTAGCGTTTCTAAGTAACTAGACTAGACTAGTTAGAAAAGAAAATTCGAAAATGTGGCAGTGTATTGACTTATCACTAGCCTTACTAAAATGTCGACGTTTATGTCCCCTCATTATTCATTCTGACACTGGACTTTGTAACGAAAGCACGTTATTCGCGCCAAAGGATTATAATTAATAATGTCTAAAACTATAAAAATAAGCAGACCACTTTTTGAATTCAAGGTTTTTCTCCTTCCTTTTTTTCACTAGTCGATTTTTTTTATCATGTTTCATTACCGCATTCAAAGAATTATCACTAAGGAAGTGTTTTAGATTAGATTTAATACCAGAAATCTACACCAGGCAACTGTTTAAGTAAAAATTTACTCTGAATTAAGCGATGTTAGTCATTTCCGTTATTTCAAGCTTTATTATAATGTCATCTTTCTATCCCTTTCTCTACAGATTCAGCTCAGTATGTTCTACTTTTCTATACATGTCAGTCATCATATCTGAATTCATTCCCTTCTTACGCATATCCTCTTTCAAATCATCCAAACTTTCTTGTATTCATCTTTTGAAGCCATCCATATTTTATTCCATGATGATATTTCATGTATTTCTTAATTCATACACAAGTACTGAATAAACGTCAATAGCCTAATGGTTTAGGGTACCGGTTTCCGATCATAAGGTCGGGGCTTCGAATTGGACTATTGTGGAAACCATGTCCTAGCATAAGCATAGAGCTTAATTGGAATGATACAAGAAATATTAGAAAATTAACGTACCTGCGGTTTAACTCTGATGAAGTGGATATCCAAACCTTGAATATTGGTCTTATATTGTGGGAATTGGTTTAAGAAAGCTTCCCGTTCTTTGAATGGATACTCCTCAGCCCAGTATTTTAACCAGGGTTCTATAGCTTTGGAGTTGAATCCGTATTCAAATGCTATACCTTCAAGAGGTGGGATAAGTGGTCGATGATTCTTCAATCTACTTCTAAGATCCTTTATCATCTGGAAACAACGTATCATATTAGTAATTGGTGCATTTTTATCAGCATAATGGAAATTCTCTGTAGATTTCTGACAACAAAATCCCCGTTTAAAACATATCGTTATTTCTGTTCTGTCAAAGGCAATGACAAGGATGAAGATATGTTTTATACAGACGTTTTGGTCTCAGAAATCAACGGACAATATGACTTTAAAAGATATGTTAAATGTGAATACAAAAGTATAATATGCGACACACTAATCCGGGTGAGAGGCACTGCTGTCGGAGTAGATTCTGTCAGAAAATACTTTAGTAAAGTCTACTCAAGTACAGTAAAGATATAAAGGGCAAGTCTACTGTCCAAGTAAGAAAATGCTTCAGGTAGCCGCTTGCTCTTGCCACCTTTTGTACATAAACAGTCTATACATCTTACTTCTTATCTTACTAATATTATAAATGCGAATGTTCAGATGGATGAATGGATGTTTGTTTAAAGATATCTCCAGAACGGCTGCATAGATCTCGATGAAATTTGGCATACACACAGAACATAGTCAGGAAGAACACATAGGTTAATATTTAAGTTTTTTTTTTAATCCCACGCGGGCGGAGTCGCGGGCGATATCTAGTTAAAGATAAATTATAGAAGTAACACATTTATTTTAATTAAAATGAAAACATACATACCTCATCAGTGAACTTGATTTGGAAGGGTCTAATACTGGTATCCTGCTTTCCTTTCAATTCGTTTGGACCCCACCATTCTTCTGTATCAAACTGAGGCAGCTTAGGTGACTCGCTGCTGAACGCTGACCACGCGATATACACGACCACTAAGGCGACTAGTCCTATCAGAATCCTCGACATCTGAAAATACATGTCTTTTAGTATGGACTTATCACATATAGCATTCGAATTCACACTTAAGTATTAAAAAAAAAACTAAAAATGATTATTATAACCTCACTCAGTGATGTAGCTTCCCAACAGTGAAAGAATTTTTTCTAATCGGTACAGTAGTTTCAGAGGCAATTCAATACAAACAATTAAATCTTTTCTTTTAAATATATGGCATATTAATAATTATTATTTAAAACCAACATTAATTACAATATTTAGTGAGCACTTATTCCGAGAACTAAGATTTTGCAAGTATAAGATACGCGTACATAAGGTCGCGTCAGACGCATCGCATGCAAGGATTAAACTGCATTCCTTTGGATTACGATGCGGACGATGCGTACGTTGCGATATGTAAAATCATACAAAGCAAACTAGAATCCGTTGTGAGCCGTGCTGCGGTGCGTCCGGCGCTGGCCAATGGACGTGTACCTTTATGAATACTTTTAAAAACACATAAATTAACTTAAAATAAAATTGTTATTCACCTTAGATGTGTCCAGCAGCTTACACTATACTAAAATGAACTTTAAACATATCTTGGCTTTTAAATATAAGTCAAATAACTCGACAATGAGTCGACGATTTTTCTAAATGTATGAAGATAAGATAGTCGATATTATTAATAAAACAAGCGATAGGGTAACCATGTATTTGGATTTACAAGTGTTATCACGGACAGAAAAAATCCAAGATCTATTTTGGAATGACGGCATTACTTACACAGCGTCGAATCGTGAGTCTCTTAAGAATCATTTAATGGTCTCTATGAGAGATACTTAGTATTGATTTAGTATGAGGAATCTTCAATCCTTAACATGCCATTCTGTCTGCGAGAGCGGCTAGAGTCTTACAAGAAAAATTGTTATTAAGTGTTCTAAATTTTCTGTTTTTTTTTTTTTTATAACAGAAAGGGGCAAACGAGCAGCCGGAATACCGAGGTGTTCAACGACGCCCATGGACATCAGCAATACCAGAGGAACCGCAGATGCGTTGCCTGCCTTTGAGGTGGTGATAAGCTCGCTTCTTGAAGGACCCTAAGTCGTAGCGGTTTGGAAATACCGCCGACAGACCATGTTTAATCAAAGATCACTTAATTAGTTATTAAACGACTCTGTTTGTTAGATTTACTAAAATAAAACTTTGATTTTCATTACATATAGTAAATTAATTAACTGTCAACGCCTCTAGCAATATCTCCCTTGTTCTTAGTCGTTTCCTTCGCTAACTTTTTTTAAATTAATAATTATGTTATTAAAATTCATTTTTAACCAATAACAAGTCCTTCATAACATTAGAATAAATTTAATTAAATAATTAAAAACATAATAAATACTATTTTTGATTGTTTATGATTATTTTATCTATAAACATTTTTATTCATTTGATTTTAGAGTCTCGATATTTCCTAATAAAATGATGGTATCTAAATTAGCGAGTAGGTATTACATATTTACCCAAATTGATTATACAACTGTTTCTATACAAACGTATTTTTGTTTTTCTTTCGTGTGAACTTAGCTCATTTTAGAAAATGCTGAAGCCGAGACGAAGGCTGACGGCCTTTACTATTACGTTACAACATGACGTCACGTAATAAGAGAGCCAACTAAAAGCAAACATGAATACTATAACACTGGCTAATATTAAAAAGAAAAAATATGACTTTTCTACCGAATTCAAAAAGGAGGTTCCAAATTCGCCTGTATTTTTTTATTTCTTTTTAATCTACAACTCTTGTATTTCGCTTAAACATATATCAAACAAGTAAGTTGTTTGATATACATAGGATTGTAATTATTAAATTTGACTTTAGTTGTATGGTATGGTTAAGGTGAACATTTATTTTTAGGGTTCCGTAACTCATAGGAAAAAACGGAACCTTTATAGGATCACCTTGTTGTCCGTTCGTCTGTATGTCAAGATCCTTTTTTGATAATGAAAAATTTCAGTTTTTTCTTCAAATAAAAACAGTAAGCTTAAAATACAAATTTAGAAACACATATAGTCGAAACGTTTATTTATATTTATCATAAGCTTTGCTTTAAAAAAAAACGGGACAATTTAGCGTCCCGGCATTCATGTCGGGGACATCGGGAAAGGTAACTATAAAAAAGGACAGTCCCGTTCAAAATGGGACGTCTGGTCACGTGAGGTATGGTTTAAATAGAACGCCCGCTAGTTTAATACTTTATCATTTGTAGTTGTTTTAACAGTGGTTGAGCCAGCTTTAACATCTTCGCACGAATTGTCCCGGCTCGCCCGATGAAATACCACGACCGCACAGAAGACAGGCGTCAAGTGGAAGCTATTCCGCGTACAGTCTGATGAGTGTGCGTCTCGGAGAACTAATTTACTCCTCTTTCCCTTCCCACCCTTTTCTTATAAGGAAAGGATGGGAAGTGGAAGTGGATTTTCCGAATGAGAGGATGCATGGAAATATTTTCTTTCTGTGCATCCTCTCCTCCGTCGATTAAAGGTAGGCAACGCATATGTAATTGCGTATGTCTATGGGCAACGGTTATTTCGCTATTTCAGCGATTTCATGTGGCCGCTCGCTCGTTTGCCACCTTATGATATAGAAAAAAAATCATTGTAGTTTTTTCAAAATAATATTATACATAGTCATTCCAATGAACGCTTTAATTTTTGGTATATTTTTCTTATCTTAATTATTTATATTACACAATATTCCTTCATTGCTATCAATTGATAAATTATTTCATATTGATGTTAATTATGGTGAAATATAGGATATTTTAAGCTCAAATATTTATAGACTTTTTAATATAATTCCCTTCTCCAATGAATGCCAATGACATGCTGTTCTATTAGTACAGTTTCTTCATTTCTAAGGGCTGTGAACTGTCTGGTCAAGAGACCATCTCTTGTAGGTTGATTCTCCATTCTGTGCGACTGTCAGATATGTCCATGACTCTTAAATATATCTTCAGCGACTCACAAAAGAGAAGTAAGTAAGTTTTAAGAGTGGTAGAACCCGCTTTAACATCTTCGCACGAATTGGTCAGGTTCGCCCGGTGAAATACCACCACCACACAGAAAACAGGCGTGAAGTGGAAGCAATTCCGCGTTTCGTCTGATGAGTGTGCGTCCCGGAGACCTAATTTAGTCCTCTTTCCCTTCCCACCCTTTTCTTATGAGGATAGGATGGGAAGTGGAAGTGGACTTTCCGGATGAGAGGATGCATGGAAAGGGAAAATATTTTCTTTCTGTGCATCCTCTCCTCCGTCGATTAAAGGTAGGCAACGCATATGCATTTGCGTATGTCTATGGGCAACGGTCACTTCGCTATTTCAGCGATTTCAGGTGGCCGCTCGCTCGTTTGCCACCTTATGATATAAAAAAAAAAAAAAAAAAGTAAAACTTTTAATACGGTAGCTACAACGTTAGTCTTTTGAAATTATGATTTTTCCTCCTCCTCCTCCTCCTCCTCTCAAGCTTTATCCAGCCGTTTCACAGCTTTCGTTAGACCCAACCCTACATCTGGGGGTTTCATCGCTCTGCAGCGCAGTCATTCGCTCTGAAGCGATTCCATAACT